TTCGTCATGAAAATATTCAGTTTAAGTTTTACTACAACAGACATATATCAAGTAACTCAGAAGGGTGTTGATGAATCAGGTCTTAATATTTATATGAATTTTTCTATAGCAGTACTAAATGATTTCCATCTTAACGGCAAGAAAGATAGGAAGAAATTTTTATACCCAATGTAAAAACTAGTCAGTTTAGCATGCTTTCTTCCCCAACAAACATCATTGTATTTCGCATAAAAAAACACGAATTTAAAAATAAAAAAGATTGCTCTAGCTCACTCTGAAGCAGAGATACAAGAAATTGGCGTTTTTTTCAATAGTGGACTGAACATTAAATTTTTTATTGCAAAAAATTTGTGTATCATCTTCATGTATTTTTTTATCACCCTGCCAGAGCATTTTATTAATTCAATTGAAAGGGAAGCTAAAAAAAATTGAAAAAGTGGCATTGTAACACCCAGGGCAGCTCAGGTCTCTCATCTGTACCTCTCTTTTGCGACTAGGTGGTCGACTGGTTCCAGTGCGCAGGGGGAAAATATGGGCATAGGCTGGGGTTAGAATTTTAATGAGTTGTTTTACATAATTATACAGTTACAAACATAGTAATAAACAGTGAACATGCTTAATTAACAAATTAAATACAAAAACTAATTGTAGTAAGAAAGATTTTTTTATTCAAATTTCGTGTACAATAAATTTTAGATTTTTCTAATACATTAAAATTTTGCTTTTTTTATGATATACTTTTGCAATAACTATCGGCTGATAACAAAATTTTGCGTTGAATTGGTATTAATTTGGTCATCCATTCTTTCTGGCATTTTGTCCAGGGTTCAAGGTATTTTTGATTAATCGTCGTATGTGCAGTCTTCTACATCGATTGAACTTCAACGTGCTCGATATTAAAGCAGTTTTTTTTCTGAACAGTATTTACACATTTTCTGTTTTGTTTTTTCCTGTTACTTAAGGTAATGTTTACTAAATTGGAAATGTTCGACTGTGGTATGCGAATACCATCTATAATGATGGTATCTTCACTGGTCCACTCTATGTTGCTGATAGCGCGTATTTAGAGTACATCAACAGCAGCTTTTTAATAAAATTTTTTCAGCACGCTTTAAATAACCTCAGAATTGTGCCTCTCCTTATCTTTACGTTTCTCTTTGTCCTTGTCGACGTCATTGTTAGGGAGATTTTCATTTTGTGATGTCTTGACGTCTTGTGGGGTTGAGTCAGCATGTGATTTTCTTTTGCTATTCAACTCCTTAAAGTGTGAATACCAATACAAATTTTTTTGGGTTCCTTTAACTTTTCTGGCTCCTCGAAATATAGTAAACTTAAAACATCGTTTTCTTCAGAAATATTTGAGGTACCCTTGTAAATATACACCAAAGAGAAAGTTATTCTTTCCACACATTTGCTACAAACGGCAACATTGCTCATAGCTTTCCCTTGGGTGACCGGAAATGGCGTTAGATCGAACCATATCTAATGCCATCTTTGGTCAACCAAAGAGAAGCGACGTGCATTGTTGCAATTCAGGAACGGTGCCTGAAAAGAATCATTTTCACTAAGGTGTACTTGATTAGCATCGTATTGGCGTCACTCAATGGTGGCCACTGTTGTACCGTTTCAAAATCATAAAGAGCGCGCAAAATAGCAACGTGTTGGTGATCAAACAGGGAACGTAACTTTGACGTCATTAAGGTATGTACCCATATAACCTAACATTCAAATCACTTTAAGATTTTTTAAGCCACGTAAATAAGAAAATCATGATGTTTTGTGAGTTTTTTCAAAATCTTACTAGGATGTAGGTCGGAAGAAAGTGATTACTACCTCAGTTATTAATTAGCTACATAGTTTTATGATAAGTGAATAATCACTTATATAATGTTGTCTGTACTTATAACTATACTGATGCCTCGTAGAATAAGGTATTACTCCTAAGATCTTGGTAATCATACTGCCACTCACCGTAACAATAGATGATCAAATTGAAATGAGAATCATTCATACGACTAATGTGTTGTGAGAAGCTACTGATAAACACGGTCTTGCTATATTTAATAGGCCCACTAAGACTACGCATCTATAAGTGTTGCTTATCAGACATCTATATTGTCAAACAAAACTTTATCGAAAAGCTAAGAAACAACGGCAGCTAGCCCTTCATGCCCATGATCTCTCGCAGCGATGCGAACGTTTTCAGAAGACTAGAATCAAGGTATCTTAAGTGACCAATTAGCTCGCTTAGTCGACTTGACCTCTAATTATTTTCTTACCTTGTAGCGCATGTCGCCAGGGTAAGCACCAGGCTACGACGACGACGAGGAAACGAAAAATTTCAATAAAAACTATTTAAAAAATCGTACTTGGATTATAAAATTTTCACATTCAACAGTTTGTAATTTAGATGTCCACCATAAAGTCAAATTTATCTGTCATTTGATTACGTCAATATACTTTTGTATGAGAAAAAAGTAAACTGTAATGTGAGCACTTAATTTCTATTTAATACTTGGTTAATATTCAATAGTTCCTTAGAGTTAACTCACGAATAATATGATCATATCGTTAACTTGATATCAGTTGTGAATGAATTATATTTTTAAGGTTACATTTACATCTTATTTACATAAAAATTTTATTTATCTAAGGGTTATATTTTCGTAACAACACGTGATCAACAATGCCATGATAAACCAGTGGGCAGTCATGGGACTGTCGACAGAAGTGAAAAACTAGCGAATTATAATTTTACTCAAGTTCTGAAATGAAGTAGCCACTATCCAAATCATTGACTGTTTTTGAAATAAGTAATCTAAAATTATGGCATTTATATTATTATGTGGGTCGTGTTAATGCATATGATAACATGCATATCTCTTCATTATACATTTTTTTAATAATGAATTATAAAGTTTATTACACGACAATACAGGTATTCCATAAGCTAGAAATTCTGAAAAATATTCGATTCGTCATGAAAATATTCAGTTTAAGTTTTACTACAACAGATACTCAGGAGTGAGACAAAATTAATTAAAGAACTTAGATAATTTACGTCTGATGTAGGCTTATTATCATTTTTTAATGAATTCATTTGGAGTCCTCGACATGTAATTTGTAAATAATTGAATTGATTTTTCAGCAGGAACCCTAAATGCTTACGTAAAAAAGTGTTATTTCGTTTATATTTTTTTTCATAAATAATTGAGTTTACTGAGAAGGCTATTAAATAATTTGTAGANCTTAGCAAAATACAATAAAATTCGTTTTCAGTAAGATAATTGTTATCATCTTATAAAATCCAATTCGAAAAACTTAAATATATCGTCGGTTTAACATGAGGGCAAAAGAGGTCGTTCGAAATGTAGGGAAAGTTTTTGGGGAGGCTGGAGTGGGAAGTGGGTCCTATTTTCGTAGAATATTTTTTGTTCCATTAATTTAAAGAAGAAATATTAAGATTTTTTCCTTATTTTATGGGGGGTTGAGGAAATAGCTTAAAACTTTAAGTAAGGCAAAAATGGTTTGCCAATTGAATCTGGCCTTACAACTATACAAGATAAAGTTATAAGCTGTAAAGACGAGTGTGAGGACAGACAAAATTTATAAAACAAAGTATTAAAAGCAAACGCAAGTCGTCATGGGACAAAAATCTATCACCACTTTGTGTTTTACTCATAGTTATAGTCAGTATGCTCAAAGCATCGAGTCTCTTTGCTTTAATCATAGGTTTCATACGATTTACTGCTAATGGACCACTAAACAGACGTAGGTATTAATAAGTAATATAAATAAATAATTTTTTTATTATGTTTCAGTAAAACTTAGTACCGCTTGTTAATAAGTTATTCTTACAAACAAAATATACTTAGCTGCTTGGCGTAAAAAAGATATTGAAAGACAACTGGTAAGTAAAAACAGTTCACAATAATTTTTTATTCTGTCTAAAAATAATTATAAAGCATATATTCGTTATACATCGTAGAATATAGTTGTATTTCATGTCTTTATTACTTAAATTGCTCTTAAGTTAGCATGATATTCTTATTGCCTAAAAGTATGTTTTTATTCTCGCAATGGCTCAGAGTAAAAACATTACTTTTAAAAGTTAGGTATAATTTGAATTGTTGCGATAAAGTCAAAACAAAACTTCAGGAAAATTTAGTGAGTACCACGCTAGCCACATTGCACCTTATGTGAAGGCATGGCAATATTACACATCTTAATAAGCTTAAAAATCATGAATAGATTTAATTCATTTAGAAAATTACAAACTATTGGTTATTTTTGCTGTGTCACTATTAAAACAATGAACTTTGACTGTATTTAGATCTTTTTGATAATACACTTCAATCCCTACTCTATCTCTAAAGTCAAAACAATCATTTTTTTTCCTGCATGCTCAGTATTGCCAAAATGGTTATAAAAATGGTAGTTAGTCGTATTTGTGAAAATTCGCCGTAATTAATTAAATTTATGTATCTCTTTATACTTAAACTGCACGCATTTCTGTGAAACTACAAATACAATATGTCTGCCCAACTTCCATTTTACTACTAGAAGTTAACAGAGTATCCTATCATTGTCTATAGTTATCTTAAATTTGAGTCAGATTACCCCATTTTAACGACGATGATACTAGATAAATGAAGTTTCAATCTATAAGAACGAAAAAATCTATGAGAAAAAAAAACGTTAAAAGCAGCACAGAAATGAGGTACTCAATATTTTATGCCACTAAGTTATTTGTAAATAGGGTTATGGAATATAAATCATTGCTTATGCACATGGTCAGTTTCTACTACTTATGGTATAACAAGTGAAGTGTACAAAATTCATTGAAATATGTTACGAAATTCCTATAGCTGCAAAATGTGTACGTACCCTATATCATAGATAAAATCTCATTAACAGTGGCGAAGAAGCTGTTTATACCTACACATACAATCATACAGAACATACAGTACATAAGCTTTGGGTAAAGTTTTTTTACTCACCAAGGGTAATGCAACAACCAGGTTGGCATTTCCTTCGCCTCGGTAGACGCATTTCTGCCAGTCTAATGGAGAATCAGGAAAATTCTGAGGGCTAAACGTTGGCCCCTCTTCTTCTGTCTTGTCTGTATTAGCCATTTTATATGTAAGCTAGCGATTTGGAAAAAAGAGAAATATACATTAAATTTTGTACGAGATTACATTTATTTTTGTCATTTTACATCGAAATTCTATTTAATTAAAATGTCAGATAAGGAAAAAACAAAGAATCTAATAGTGGCACTATCATATTTTGTATCTATTTAAAAAACAAAACAAAGTTTCGGCCGTTTGGACAATGTTCCGGCCCTCATCAGGTACAAAAATCTATGAGTAATAAAAAGTTTTAACAAATTACAATGAACGCAAAATTTGGTTGAGTGTATAACGTACCTCTGACTCTTACAAGGCATGTAAAATCGTAATGTAGTCAGAGTTACAAGTTTAGCGGCTTTTATACTCTGCACATACACAAATGATATAATACGCGCACGCAATACAATCAAATAAGAATCGCAAGCTCAAAAAGAGGCTCCGCAAATCATGTACATTAAATTAGTCCTCTTTCAAAATTGACTTAACGAGAGACTTAGGACAATTTAGGCCGGACCTCGGGTTTTAAGAAGAGGGAGATATGATAGAGAAAGAGATAGCACAAATATCAGAGGTGGCAACACTAGCGCTTAGCAAGAAAATTATATATTACATCGAGGTATCGCTAGTAACAAGAGATAATTTGGACCTCCCTATCAGGATATCACCATTGTTGGTAGAAAAAAAAGGATTGAATGTGATAAACAGGGTTGCCCATCTTCAACCAACCTATGAATATATAGCAAGTATCACAAGCGAGAAGAGATTCGCAGCAATATCACGGAAAACGGTAGTACAATGCAAAACGCTGAAAAAGATAAGCATATGTACACGAATGGAGCCAATACAAGAAGTAAAGGAGGATCATCCTTGTAAAATACGGCTTATATTAGAGGTGACGGTGAAAAAACCAGAAGAATGCCTTATAGTGTTGGCCGAATTGAAGGGTACCTATTGGATACGTCTTCCTGTACAAAATCAACGTGCGTTCAGCACCACGGAAGAGCAGAACATACATGTACAATACGGTCACAATATACACATTTAAAGTAATAAAGGTGTAAGCATCAGAGACAAGATTGGACTGGAGTCAAGAAGAAGGCGAGAATCAGATAGTCAAGTTTAAGGGTTTGGATTTAAATTTGAAAGAAATAATGCAAAAAATAAAAGCGGTGAAAGTGGATAAAGTACAGAAACAAATAAAAACAGTAGTAGGGAGGAATGAACTACAAGAGCTTGGTAAGCAGGAGCATGGGCTGAAGGGTAAGTTAATGACAGGTACAAAGCTAACTATCATAGTGCAACCTATACGTAAATTAGATTACAGACGAAAGAGAGATTTGGAAATGGGAGCCCCTGATTATATTAAATTTATTTAGAAATTTTTTACGAAGAAAAAACAGAAACAATATCACGAGAAAAGAAAATGCAATGAATCATATGGCACTGCAACCAACACTCATCCAAGTATAAGGGGATCAGTGACAGGAAGATAATCTGGCCCGCAGTAACAAACAACCATAGTAAATAAACATACCTTAGCTAAGTTACACGTAATGCCTTAATACCCAAGCACAAATAATATTTTTGTAAAAAAAAAAAAAACCAAACAAACAAACAAATAAATGAAAAGTGCCGTTCTCGAAAAAATATACATTTATAAGTGAAAAAAAAAAGAACAGGTGAATAACTAGTAAGTAGATACGTTAATAAAAATTGCTGGTATACTTTTTGTTTTTAGATGATGCATTAAATGAATAAACACTTAAAAAAGTATACATATGTCATAATAAATAAAAAAAAAGAAAATNTTAAACTTGTAATTAAATATTAAATTATACTTTTATAAGTTAAAATAATTTTAGTATAATATAAGATAGTATAAAGCATAATTTAGTTAAAAATTACTAGCAGTCGTCTCGTCATCACATTTGTAAGTGTTACAAAGACAAGGAAAAAATTTTGCGTGAACAATAGTCTACGCGAATAAATAAGCAGGCAATGTTTACATTATGAATGTTTCTACTAGTTCTGATGACGAAGAGTGACGACGTGACGATGGTTAATTAAAAATATATGTGTGCATATGTGTACGGTAATACAGCTTATAGGAGCTTAGTCACTTGATCACTACTAGTAATCGCTGCGCACGTGTGCAACTACGCAGTTGAACTTGCATGTGTAATTGGTACTATTGGATGTACACTTATACAGTAATACTGTAACATGCACTGTATACAGTTTAGAGTAGACACATTAACATATGACAAAAATCTATATACCAATATAGTACGTAGTTACACTAGTTCAAAGTTATCTCGGTACATGACTTGGTAGTTATGCACTATACGTACACTATTAACCCACACGTATGCGGTCTGATTCAAAATTCAAATGCGCACTATGCGCACTGCGCAGCTGCTGCCATTATACAAGAAGAGAGTACTTAGCTTTTGTCGCCAAGCTACTCTTTCCTTCTCAACCACCGGTCAATACAGAGCGGGCTTTCCCTCTTCTCTCACCCCCTCGCCAACATTTCATTCTCTCGTGCTCACACGTGACTCTCTGCAGGAATCGCCTTGCTATTAAATGAGAGCGATTTGACTCGAAACCAAGAGTTTTTTTCCATCTAAAATCGTCAAACGTGCCTAAAGAAGTTTTTACTCCAGACATTTTCATGAAGAAATTAAATATAATTCGTTTAAAATTAAGCATGACTTTTGTTTAATTATAATACGATGTATATTCTCATATGGACATATCTATATTCATAAATTAAAAGGTGGTTATGTTACGTCAATGGAGGCAGCCTACTTAGGGCGTATCAAACGCCCCCTGACGTTGCCAACATAGGACCTCAGTAGGCTAGAGAAGCCGCCTAAGCAAGCCCTACTGATCGCCTACTTATAATTTCTGTTCAGGATGATGATGACAATTAATCAACATAAAATACATATGCAATGTTTTGAAACAATTTGTTCCCTCTAAGCTTAACAATTAAAAAAACAATATTTGCATTGGTTTCTATGCAAAAGTGATTGTTTCTTATTGAATTATGGTAGAATTGACGGACCGATTTTAATGAAACTTCAGTCATCTACGAAACAACTCCCTGGGAAAGCGTATAATGCATAAAAATATTGATTGGTTCCTTACAAAAAAAGATGTGAACAACTGAAGGTGTGCTGATTGACTTGAGAGGTTAGTTCTCTCAGGATATCGTCTGCATGTAAGATTACGTACACCTTAAGTATCTATGTAGCAACACTTAGTGAATAATAGCGCTAATCAAGTTAAGTCCTTACTTTTAATACTTTACTTGCCTAACCACGTAAAGGTAGTAAGCCTCCTTAAACTAACTTAACTAAGAGTTTTTCTTGCTACCAAGTCAGATAAAAAAAATCAAGCTATGAGAATTTTTCATTAGCGTATAACGAGGATTGTTGCCCGAGCGACTAAGCTTGACCTTCAGCTTCATATCGAGAAAATGTATACATTTCTTTCAGGTACTCATCAGAGCCTGATGCGACATTATGTCGTGGGGCTGCCTACCTTGTTAGCTGATGGTAAAATTTCTCTGGTAACTGGTACGGTAAGAAACTTGTTAAGAATGATCTTGTTGGATGACCATGCTTGAAATAGTCATATCATGTCTGTCTGTTTGAGCATTAATGGGCTGCTGTACCACCTTAAATACAAAGATTGATCTATGTCACCTTAATTCAGAATCACGCTCGCATCCAGTCTTGTAATGCTACATTTTGATTATGCCTACTTGATATGTATGGGACTGTCAAATTATGTTATAGGCAAACTCGATCGGTTATGCAATACTATGGTTCAATACTGTTTGCCGATGAAAGTGCGATGCGTTACTTTCTGAGCATAACAAAAATCTGAGGTACCTAGTACTTCTTTGGTGTAGATGCGTATCTGTTCCTTGCCTCGAATGAATGGAACGATATTTATCTAGTCTCCTTTCCCGGGTAATGGATGAGCTTCTTTGCTTGCAATATCACAGCCCACCCAACTTCCAGAATTTTTACGTTTTCCTGCTTTTATGTGCCTCTGCTAATGTATAAAATAACATACTAATATTTAGGTTAATGAGCATCCGTAATATGCTTTTTAGAACGAAGTTCTTTATGTCGCGTACTGGGGGGGCTGGAATTTTAAAAACGACAGATTTTTATGAAACGGAAGTCGCTTACTTTTCTTTCTTCCTTCTAGAAGTTTCTTCCTTTTAAAAATAAATTTTATATCTAAATAATAAAGTGG